TCATTTTTCAAAACACATTCTAATTACAAAACTATATTCACTCAGCCAGTGATTCTACTCATAGAGTAGAGCCTAGACTACAGTACTATACAGAGCGAAACACCACATTTTTCGCACATAATTTTAGATCGCTTGTCTTTTTCCTTGGTATTCTGCAGCGTTTATGTGAAGGCATTTCGGCAAATGGTCTCCAACATTAGCAAAACGAATTTCTTCTGTAATAACTTGTAAAGCCTTTTGGCGATTCTCAGACAAAACAGGTTTTTGTTGCAGATATAGTTCACTAGACCAATCGAACGTCGTTTTCTGCATCAAAATCCACTGATCTGTTCTCTAGCCACAGAGACTCGGAATTCAAGATAGCCGAGTTTTGTCGCATTTGTAGTTTGAGAGTATAACAAAAATGTATTTGTTATACTCGTATCAAGAAGAAAGTAAAATATACGGAGCCAACACCTCTTTCTCCTTCTGCCAACTGAATATGTGCTTTTTAGCTGATCAAAGCGATCTACGCCTCCCATTCTTTTAATATATTCCTTTATAGCTAAAGGGCAGTCTATCACTTTTTTGTGCCATCTTTCTGTGTCCGTAAGATAGTGGTTTTGCTAACTTTACGATGAAATGCACTACTCAATAGAAGGACCTCTTTAGTATCTTGCCAGACTGGGAATGCTACATTACTCTTGACACTCCGTTTGTATTGTCCTTTTGCAAACTTCATTTTACGTTTTATAATAACGGGTAAGTTTTTCTGTGTCTTCATATGGTTCCGTTAGCATACATGCCATTTTCATATAAATATTGCAAGAAATGGTAGTCACAGAAGAAATTGTCAAATGTCACAATAATATGAAATTCTTCCAATGCTTTATCCATCAGCTTTTCCGTCAACATTTTCACAACTTTGCATCCTAGTCCCTCTTCTGTTCCGGTTTCTGATTGTCCAGCGTAGATGTAAAACTCGTATAGGTATCCAGTATTGCTATCACACCGGCACCATACTTTGTAGCCTCTTTTTATAGGCTTTACAGGCATATATTGTTTCATGGATAACCAGCTTTTAAACAGAATCATTGACTCGTCAATACTTTGAGATCAAGAGTCTTTAGCACTTGTCTGACAAGCGTGATTGATAAGATCTAATACTGGGCGTAATTTGTAAAGTTTGTCATAGTTCTCGCTTGTCTTCGGTGGTGGTTGTGCATTATCAATTAGATGCAAACATTGCCAAATTATTTTTAATCGTTTGACAGGCATTACTTCTGCTATTTCGTCTACCCTAAAACCAGGGTCAGATGACCAATAAAGGTCAACAGAAGGAAGAATATTATTGTATCCCATAATTATAATTACCCCTAAGAATGCCTTCAAATCCTTTTTATTTATCGTACTCCATGCTTCAACTTTGTTTGGCTCGGCATATAAGTTAGTTCGATATATTATTGAATCGTAAACCTCGTCAGTGAAGAATTTTTCAAATAAAGTAACAGGTCTAGTTCGGTTGCTAAACATATTTTTAGGTGCCATTGGAATTTCGTCGTAAACGTCAGGACTAGGTTGATAGGCCGTCCACTTAGTTTTTTCTATATTTCTCCTATATATTCCTCTTCGCCGTCTGTTTCTGAATTTGAGTAAACAATCAGCTGTTTCTGAATTTGAGTAAACTTTTACTGGTGATATTGTTCTTGGCTCTGATATCTGACGAGTTCCAGAAGAAGTGCGTAAATTTTGAACTCTTGTCGTCCGCATAGGACGATTGTTGGGGGATGATTGGAGACTATGTTGAATATCAACAAGTCTACAGGTTTGAATTTCAGGTCTTGGGCTATCGGATGGAGTGGGTGTGGGTGCTAGAGGCCCATCATTAGGCTTATTAAAATTCTCTAAAATCCTTTGAATTTTCGTGGAACTGAATGGAACTTCGTTTTCATAGGATTCTAAATTGTCACCTGGCACATCAGGATCATCAAGCAAACCAAAAATCTCATCTAGTTCGTTCATTATTTCCTGATCATTCAGTATTCTTCGACTTATTTTTAATAAATCTGTAACATTCAAAAAAGCACATGCACACGCCACAGGCAAAGGGAATATATTTACCACCACAAAAAACCATATAGGTAATCAAAATCTGTCAAAGCCAAAATAATGAATGAATATTGAATGTATACTTATTAGGACATAAACATAATAACAACTTACCGTTGTTAAGTCGCGGAATTTCAAATTTAACAAATATTTATCATAAGTACCCATTGACTTACAAATAAATGGACGACGGGTCTAATACAAAAACCACGAAAAAAGTGTCCCAAGTCAACCCATTTAAACGTAGTGACATGTAAAGGAATATGAAAAAGCTTAAACGTTGGATTTCAATTGTAATGTTATTGCAGTACTGTCTAATTTTGCTTGCTTCGCTGTCAGTCAAACAAACGAAGACTAAAGCGTGAATGACGCTCTGTAAACGCCCTATAAGTTCGGACACTTTTTAGCGCGGACCCGACGTCCATTTAATTGTAAGTCAATGTAAGTACCTAATAAATTCACCCGATTTCAAATTTTCAAACGTCTCAGATACAAAAAATATAATGGCGCCCTGTCATCACTCCCAGTTAAAAAAGTGAGCTGACATCCGCAAAAAAATGATGCTATAAAAAAAACTTGTCACTCGATCAATTCAACGACAATTAAAAAAATAATATGGTTGGAAAATTATTCCCGCTGCCTTATAAAGGGCTATTCAAGGCAAACATGGCAGACGCACAATACCAGAGAGGTCGCAACATAGCACGAAAATATAGAGTCTATCAAAAGCTTGACTAATGTAGAACGCCTGACAATAAATCACGAATATAGCTATTTTTACTTGAACTCAGCAATGAACAAATCGGCGTGCCAACAGGTTACACTTTATAGCTATGGTTCGCCTTCGTCACTCTGGCTAGATCATCTTCGTGTTTCAATTTTTAAACGTTTGTAATTTCCAATCGGGCCATCAAGGTGGACTGTGGCCTAATGAGTTGACAATGAAACTAACGTGCACTCCAAGAAAAATTGTATCTTTACTCGCCTGTAATTGCCAAAACAAACTGAATTTATATACTTATACACCAATACAGTAAACATTCTTAGCTAAGGATCTTGGTGTGTTATTTGACTATAAATAAACGTTTCGTGAAAAATATGCGTACCTTAAGAACAAGGAATTTCCAATACTGGGCTTTAAGGTGAATCAAGGCGACCATCTACTATAAGCCTTGTCCGTAGCATTCTAGAGTCCGCTTGCGTATCTGCTGCTCCGTCCACTCGAATAATAGAGAAAGCGTTTAAGGTAAAGCTCTCAGGATACTTAGTATAAATGTGGTTATGGCCGCAGACTCGTTAGCTATTGTGAGAGGATTGACGAATTTAAAGTGACCTTGCTTGTTCACAGTAAAAGACGGGACTTTTAAGTAAAATAGACCTCTTTACAAGGCGTAACTCCCGAATACCTTTAATAGACATTTTACTTACGAACGTATAAGAATAACACTTCCTTATATAACCCCCAAGAAAGTGTCAGCTTTACACCAAAATATCTATGAAAAACGCCGGTTTCGATATTTTTGATTACGGCTCCAAAATATTTCAAGGAGCAGTTGTTAAATCGTCAAATTTAACGTCACTAAAACACAGGCATTTAATAGCAGATTAAAATTATTAATAGCAGATCTTTCGTGTTACTTCACAACGATGCGTCAACATAAGATGGATTATAATATGATAAAGATTTTTGTAATACATTATTTAACTCTTATTAATGTTATCTGTTTTATTATCCAAATGGATAATTTATTATATGATAAATATGTATTTATTTTACATGTGTAAAAGTAAGTAAAACACATTAAAATATGAAATGAAACTATTTTTCCCGGTTTTAAATCGCGTATATTTGTTTTTTCAAACAAACCAACGCTTTGGACGTTTCGGGCCCTTTATAGGTGCCATGGTCACGGTTGAGTGAGGTGGTACAGTCTTCAACCAGTTATGTCTAATATTGATGCAAACCACCCTATTTTTTCACTACATTTACAATAGTTATTAATTAAATACCTTATTTTTAAATTTACAAAGAAAACATTCTAATTGACGCAACATTAAGTTTTACAAATTATTTTATTGAATGAATTTTTATTAAGTTCAATTTATTATTAATTAATAATAGAAATTAGAATAAACTAAAAAATATTAATTAGTACTGCAGTCTTATGTCTATTTGGGATTTTTCATTAGAGGAATTACTGGATCCCAAACTGGTGGTACGGAGAAACCATCTTCCCTGTTGAAATTAGGATGTTTTTTAATTTCAATGACCTCTCGCAGCATCATGGGCAGATAACGGATTTCTTTTGCAAGGACCTGTGGTGTGTCAAACTTCATTGAATGTGTAGGTTTATCCATGACAAGCTCGTAGACTGCAGACTTGTTTACGCGAATATACGCGATTTAAATCCGGGAAAAATAGTTTCATTTCCTATGTGTAATAATCGCGAAAACCTAAGAACTCGATACAATAAAATACGTTTATAACTACCAACAGATATTGAAGTGCACGTAAGTTGCAATGTATCCTATAGAAAACTGTGAGTAGACAATTTTGAGACTAAAAAGTTTAGTCCAATGTGTAAAGTAAAAAAATGTTTTTTTTTGTTACTACGTTATAATATTACTTGTAAGATCTTACTATAATTTTTTTAGAGTTGTTTTTTTCGGTTGGGTTTTTTTTAAACAAAAACACTTGGTATTTTCTTAGCTTTATAATGTTTTTCTTTGTTAAAACTTTTTGAATACTATGATTTTCAGTGCACCATTTGCTAGATTGTCTGCAACATATTTCGCTCGAGTTATTAAAATTTTTCTAAGCGACCCAATTCTTATGCCCAGAGTTTGTGTTGTTGTATTCCAAATACAATAGATATATATGTATTGACAGCACTTTGTTGTTCATTTCATAGGAAGCGGATATTGCTGTAGCACCTCTAGCAATAACTCCGGAACGTGAGGAAGTCGTAGATTTCACAGAACCTTTCCTATCTGCCAAGAATCCAATTGAAAATAGTCGTATACCAAAACAATTGACGGATACATTCAGTTTTTTGAGACCACTATCTAAGGAGATATGGGTAATTATGTGCACTAGCAATATAAATTTAGTAATATCATTTCTTTTTTTAAGTTTTATGGTGAATTATACTATCAAGGTTTAATAAAAAGGAAATCAATTTTCAATAAATTAACATCTTCATCTTTAGCTTGGAGCTTAAAAAAGAAGACGGAATGCTAAATTCAACAAAAAAAAAGTATAAATATATATGTGTGTGTATATATATATATGTAGCTAAAGGTTTTGAGTAACCATCTCCATAACAAGCGACTTCACATGCCGCTTTGAGAGAATCCAAACATTTCGCCGATAAAATGATGTTACTATTTTACACATGAATGTTTATGACAGCTCTTGGGCTGCAGTACAGCGCCGTGCTACTGAGTTACGGTGTTTTAAATTCTGTTGACCACTTTTTCGTTTTGCCCGCTTTACTGCGCTTAATAAAAACAATTCTGAATTTTCAGCTCTGCGTTCTCTTCAGCTTTTTTGCCGTGAGCATAGTTCTTTTCTTAGTGTCCAGATTTTCTCCACATGAGTGGCGATCAATATCCATTTCTGACACTCATTTGGATCACCCTATTACCAGTACGAATGAGGTAACTTATTACATATTATTATGCAATATGGATAGAATACGGGACGGGCTCTCCAACAAAGTTTCTTGAAATGGTATAATCGAATAACTTCTAACTCATCGTTGTCACAGTTTGTGCGCTGTAACTATTATACTTTAGACAGACAATATAATTAAATAAATTGTGAGAGTAGACCGATAAATTTTTCGTAGTGAATCAAGTAAATGAACGCTCATATACAAAATTTAGTGTATAACTCGCACATATTTGTTCTAGATAATATTGCACAACGAATTCAGTATTTGGAACTCGTTTTGGTTCTCTCTCGGTTCGTTTATGCAACAAGGCAGCGATGTGGTGCCTAGGTACGTATTTCGATGTATCTATGTATGTCATAATATTATTTTAAAATACTTAGTCCTTAGTTTCTAAAACACTGTCATTGATTTTCAGTGATATGTAGTACGCATATAAGCTGCACTGTTCTAGTGCAACTTATAAACGTACTAGAATTTTACACTTGGTGACTCCAGGGTAAATTTCATGTCTTGTGTTAAATCGTGCGTGTTTGAGATATAGGGATAGTATATCGTGTGCATGAACGGTGGGTAAGGGGAGGCCGATAATCACCTTGTTATGGCTACCGATGTGAAATGTTATATGTAATAAAATTACTTATCTGTATTTCGCCCTTGCGAGCAATCATATAATATATGTATAAAACTAAAAACTAAGAAAATAAAGATCCGTTCTAGCATTCAAATGAAAAGGAAGTAACATGTTCCGGAGAGACTTGAGTTGGAAACGCAGTGCTTTTGACATGACGCTGAAAAAATAATATAAATGTAAATATCTTGATTCAGCGTTCGATATTATTATGTGGCTCGTTGTTCGTCAAAGTTGTGACATAAGATCATGTAAAAATTCCAATTATGAGTATTTTTTTAGGGATTTCATGCGTTGTTTGTTTAAAACTGTTCATATTTCAGGTCGTTGTCCGGGAGAATAGTGGGTACAGTGTGGTGGTTCTTTGCTCTCATCTTAGTGTGTTCATACACCGCTAACCTTGCAGCGTATTTGATCGTGGAGCGTATATCAGAGCCGGCTAAGAATCTCAACTACCCGTCAAGTGTCGCACATACTGAAGTAAGAAACACATGACATTTTCCCAATTCTTCAGGTAACAAACAAACTTAAGTTATGTATTCGGTGCGAAATGCTAAGCGACTGAAGACTTTATTGCTACCGAACAAAATGTAACATTGACTCCGAATTTAAAATAGCTGTTTCACTGTCATCGAATGATGTTTTCTAGGAATACCTACTAACAATTTATAGTTTCACAGGCGCAGTGGTAGCGCCCTTCAGATCTTTTCAATTTAAAGCTGTAAGTGGCACTGCAACTGTTATGGATAGACGTGTAGCTTACCACCAGGCACACGACTTGTTCGTCCCGTCACGCGATATTGTAAAAAGAAAGACATTTTCGTTTAGATAAATTTTATAGCAATACACTTAGCTTCTAATCTAGTCATACAACATTCGAGTATTTGCAAATATATTTCAGAAAGGCCCCGTTGCCCCATGGATCGATTTAGTTGAGGATTCAATGCAAACGGAAGATGTAGTTCACTACGCGTTCGCGAATGAAGGTCAAATTACTTGCGATACCAAGTCTCGTGTTTGTCAATATAAGCACGTTAATTTCGCCATCGCGACGCCAAAGCAGTCACCACTAAAGTGAGTTTATTGGTTATCAGAGCATTCATAACAAATTTAATAAACACCTCGTGTGGACATCACGATTATCGGTAAAGTATGCATACATTTTATTGATAACCGTGAAGCTGTAACCAGTAGGTACATTGTGTCACATATAACACAATGTTTAAAGAAAAATATTACAAGTCTCATTGATTAGTCTTACAAACCCCTTGTTGAGTGTGTCAAGTATCAAGTACTTTCGTATTGTTTATGATTCCTTTATCATTCCCGGAGTTCCGAATTCGGTTACTTTTGCGAATATCCAATACTGTGGCGGCTACGTTTTTTAAACTAATTTACTTTATCCTTGCATAATTGGGCCAACATAAATAACACATTTGATTTTAAACAACGACTTCAATCTACTACATAGATATCGTTGATTTTAAAGTTCACAATTTATCTTTTTCAAATACTCAAATCTCTTTCTGTGTTAAAGTTCACACTGAGTGCTAAGGAAAACCCTCCAGTTTGTTAAATTTTGCGGTTGAGCTTGCCTATTTTGTCCCCAAATTGAATTTACATAGTGATTGGCAGTTACGACTAGATAATAAACATCTATTTTCAGTACAAAATTCATGCTTATTTTAATGATTTATGTCTAATTCTATATTATTTTGTTTCTTTTTTTAATACATTTTATCGAAATAGAAAAATTCAAATGATTTGTAAGCTGCCGCTAGTTCCCAGTGGAGCGAAAATAAAACATATCTCGTGAATGTAGTATGTGTATTGAAGGACGAGCACAAACAGCGTAAATTTCCAGTATACACTGGCGTTTCTACTATCAAGCTGAAATCTCGCCTCTATGCGGTAATTCCCAGCTGAATACTGAAAAGTCGTAAATTTACATGAGCCCCGTTAGTAAGAAAGTCTTTCCTCTTTGAATTTCGAATTTATATCATACCTCTCGTTTTATGGTACCTACATACGAATTGCGACGTGACTTTTAACTCGTTGAAAAAAGTCTATGTTGCATTGTATTTCAGACGCTCTTGTGGATTCAGAACACGCCATTTTAAGACTTTTCATAATCGAAAACTGTTTTTAACATCTTTACTACAGGGAAGGAATCAACTTAGCACTAGTCAAGTTGAAGAAAGATGGAGTCATCACGAAATTGTGGCGTAAATGGCTCCTCAATAGGAAACCGGATTGCGAACATGTAAAAGATGAGGTAATGTGATATAAATGTTTTTAATTTAATGGTTATGTTAATTCATATGTGTAATGTTCGCGAATGATATTTCAGGAGACTAAGATTACGGAGATGACATTGAGTCAAGTAGCGGGGATTTTTTATGTACTTGTGGGAGGCTTGGCGATTGCCTTAGGGGTGGCTCTGGTTGAATTCTGCCAGCATGGTCGAGCCGAGGCGGCGCGTGCTAATGTGCCATTGCGCGCGGCGCTGACGGCCAAAGCACGTATGGCGTCACGCGCCGACCGCAAGCACGGGGCGCAGCGCACGCCTCAGCGAGACCACAACCGTTTGCCTTGGAACGGCGGCGCTTTCGCTGGGGTAAATATTGAAATTTATTATTATTCATTTTCTATGACTGTACTTCTTAAAAGCAGTCATGAGCTGGAAACGTTACTACGCTTCTTTAGAGATACTAACAGATACTAACAACCTTGTGTTATTCGATAGAAAAAAAATCAATAAATTAATATTGTACCTTCGTATTCAGCCTGATACCGATGATGTTGAATTTACATGCTAGTTTTAGAAATGACACACATCTCATTCCAAAATCAAAGTCATGGGCTTTTTCATCACACTTGCTCGTAAACAGTGTCTTGACTTGCAGGCAAAGTCCAACGTAATGTCCTAAATTATGCCCGCGAGCTTTTTCATTACATTATCGCCCTAAGGATTTTTTACGTCAAGATTATGCAAAATGTTTTTATGCATGAAAAATATGAACGTATATTTCGCAAAAACTTAAAATATAAACAAAAACTAAATATTTGCAATTTAACTTTATTTCACTAAATTTATTTCGTGAATTCAAATTGTGCAGTATTTTTAGAATTTGGAAATTATTTATTTCATATCAAATACAACGTAGCTACATAAAATATGTTTGTGTCTTTATAACATGTAAGTTCGAGTCGTATTATCTATGGAAGAATAGCAGGCAAACTGTTAAAAAAACATTTGCATAGTTCGTAAATATTTATTTATACAAATAATAAATTATCATTGTATCTATTTTAATGTGATGAAAAATACTGTACGGACGGATGGTAAAAACGGATGGTAAAAATGACGCACCACGAGTAATTAAAGCCCTTAGGTTTCGGGCTTCTATAAATATCTCGTTAATAATTTCTTATTTGCCGCCATTCATACATAGTACATTATGTAAACATACATTGGGTAGTAAATAAGAAATTATTCTACTCTTCTATGCTAATGTAATAAACCCTTTATTGAGTTGTTACGTGTTTTACGGCCGTATCTTAAAATATACAGTACAACGTGATTGAAATCGCAAAATTTTTCTAATTTCATTTCTTGAAAATTAACAATGAATAATTTTCTTTCACGTTCAGTACAATGACTTCTTACTAGGCAGAGAATTGTTGGGACGTTGCCATCGCAGGATTCATTGAGAAATATCATTATTATGTGAGTTTTAAAGACTTAGTTCTGCCTTTGAGGACCACTACACGTTTCGATCTCCTTGGCATGATTGCCTGCGACTCATATCCACAAATCCAAGACCCACGCACCATCTTAATAAGATGCGCACTATAAAAACTTCAACAATATATTAGTATTTATTGTCAGACCGGTCTAGTCTCTGATTTGTATGTATCTTACTATACTTATTATATACTTCGATCAATTTAGTAAATAGGATACCATTTCGACTTTTTAAGTTTTCGCGATTGCTACATATTTTCAATATGAAACAATTTTTTTCCGAAGCTAAATCAGTGCAATCAATCAAATGTTGGTTTCTTTCAAAAAAACATGTATACGTGGTTTAGATCTGAAAATAAAATAGTTTCATTTCCAATCCTGAACTGGATACTTATTAGCAATAACGTGTCAACTTTACTATCATGATTATAGTTTTGCGTAAATGGCACCTAAAATTTTTTTCGTCGTTTTAGATAGTTTGTTCTAAAATTTACTTGTAAAATGAAAACTTTTGCTTGTCACCTCAGGAAAGATGAATTGTTGTGTTGTTGTGATTTATTACTATAATTCCCCAGCTGCAACAAACGCAACAGTAAAAGTTTTCATTTTACACATTGACTTTTACAAGTCAATTTTAGAATAAACTATCAAAACCAACGAAAAAATTATTTTCCTGAACATGCACGGTAAATATTTCCGTAAATATTTGCATTACTTTCAAAAACGAACACGGAAAGTTTGTCATTTATGGACAGTGCGACTTCTTCCCGGCCAAGGCCTGCAAAGTATGTATGAAAATCCATTAAGGACTATCCACACACACCAGGGCCGTGCCCGGAACGTGGACGGGACGTGCTAGTTTGTATGAACTGCAGGTCCGTCCCGGCGCCGGCCCGGACACGGACATGTGTGAACGAGTTCATACAAAATGTACGCAACGATATTTTTTTGAGCTCCTGTCGGGGCACGGCCCGGATATGTGTGGAAACACCTTTTTGTCCACTTCTCCAAACTTTTAAATTTACCTAGTGATAATGAACTTTGTAAACAGGCAAAAGAAAAACTCATACAGCCAACTGCTCAGTGTTTATAACTAGAAACAGCGATATTTAAAAACACCTACCTATACCGCTTACTTAAAAAAAAAAGAAAATCGCGGTAACTTTTAAACTAAAGTGTTTTGATATTCTTTTGATTTTTCGTCTTCTTTTGTATTTTGGTCGCGAAAATGAGTGTTAGTGAGAAGAGCAATAATGAAATTAGAATAATATATACACATTCAAACACATCATCTGAAGTTCAGCAGACTACTATTAAAGTGCCCGAAAAAACAATAACCTTTTCTTTTAACAATTGAATTGTATAAATTTTAATGTTGATTAATATTGTTTTATTTTTGTATTATACGTTTTCTTCTCTTTAGTCTTTCATTATTGCCTCACATTGTTTGAGAAAAATGCTATACATGCCTCGTCGGGAACGGGGATTGCTTGACTCGTATTAATACAAGGCCTCTCTGGCGCTCGTCCTTGTAACTCATACTCGTCCAGCAATCCCTTAATTGCCGGCCTCTGCAATAATACAATATTACGTGCCATTTTCGCAAAACTATGATCATGTTTGTTGACACATTATTAGTTATTAGCATCCACTATTGCTATATACCTACAAGACCTACAAGTAGGTTCCTTGTGTCTGTACATATGTCTAGTGTTACTATTGTCTGGTGTTAATTTACTATTCATTTTATATACTATTATGTTGTTACTACTATGATATTCATATTTTTTGTAAAAATACTCCACTACATTATTATTATTATTGGTACAAACATCGAATAACGTAAAAAAATCACCTGACTGGACCTAATTTATTAATGTTTAAGTCAATGTCAGCGAACCCTACACAGTGCGTTGCAATTCCAATGGTTATAATCTGTTACAAATTATAATGTTATGGTGGTTGACGACCTATCCAGACTGTATGGACTATTCCAAAAATGCATGTGAGGCAACTACCCAATAAAAAGATTAAAAAATGTTAGCGCATCACTTTGAATATAGACTTGTCTCTCTCTGTGCCTGAAAGCAACTTTTTTTATTATTCCAGTACTTTACAGCAGCTAACACGCAAATATCTCAAGATGACGCTGTGCACGCTAGTTTCACGCACGTTTGATCCGGAGAAAAGAGCGGCGTCAATGTTCGTCGCTCCTCACTCAGCAAGCCGCCTAACAATTCAGTCGATCTCTATCAGCTCTAGAACGGCCACCGGAAATAGTGAAGTATCACAAGATAAACTATGATACCTGGTCCGCGGTTGTGTCATTTTGCGAATTAGATCCTCGTGACAAGTCACCGATGCTAATCATAAAGACTACGTGGCTCGGCGCATATTACCTAATCGCTCGTCGTTTCGCATTCCAACTAGCGATTTCAAAATGATACAATTGTGTACCTGGCTTTGCTAGATTAGTATGAAAGAAACTATAAGAGCAGTTTCACACGTCGACTTTTAGCAACGCGTCTGCAGCGATGCAATCTCTAATCGTCTAGGTACCTTTACACATGCACGCGATTTAAGCAGCGATACAAACGCGATACACATTTTTAACGTAAGCGACAACATCAGTGCAGTCGCGTGTTGGCATCGATGCAACCGCCTATAGATCGCAAGTTGCACATTACTAAACGTGCGTTTGTATCGCTGCTATAAGTCGCCGTGTGTAACCGCTCTAAAAAAACAGAATATCATAATAGACACCATCGAATTACTCGTTTTATTTAAACGATGTAATTATAAAAATAAACCTCTACATGTCTATGAAATTATCCGGCACCCTTTTGGCGAGGCTGAAAACTAGGTTGAAATTTAATACTTGATATAAAACATACACTCGTGTGCATACTGCTAAGTCGTCATTTATTATCAACAGAATACATTTGTATTTGGAGTTCTTACGTTTTCGCGATTGTTACAAATTAGAAATGCTAGTTAGATTTTTTATGATCTTAATCGCGTATATACATTTAATTGCATTAATATTAGACATAACGTGTTGATATCTCTATCATATCTACCAACCGCATAAGTCCTGCAAAAGGCTCAAAATGTTGACTTGTTTCAATAAAACAAATACGCGCGATTTAAGATCCGAAAAAAAATCCAATCCATATTTACTCCCTTTTTGACTTCTATACTAAATTAGAAATAGCTGAAATATTCAACGGTGCAATTAATTTTATAAAACAACTGGAGCAGTCAAGTTGATACATTATATTTAATATTAATGCCGATTCGTGTAGTTATTAAAAAATGTCCCAAAACCTATGACATAGTAGATTTAAGGTGTAATTTCGTAATATTTTAATAAATCGCATTTCGGATAATCACGTTTCGTAGTCCTTTGTATTTAATAAAAATCTTCTTAAGTAGTCTACGCTAGATATCGTTAAAGGAACAGTAGCAAAGACTAAAGAATCTAACCTGCATACATACTAAATTTAGGCGACTTTTATATAATATTTTTCACAAATCGAGTAGGAAGTTTTTGTAATATTAATTAATTTAGTACTGATTTAACCCACACTCAATTGAACACAGGTAGAAATTGTAAATCGGATTTGTTAACACGTTAAGTTCTTGATTTGAGCGAAAAGTAGTTATAAATATCTTCGTGTTAATCTTTTATATAATTCCATTTGATCATACTAATTGTGTAAGTGTAAAATGAATTGCTTTTATTAAATTACTATGATTTAATAATTCATACTTCACATAAAATAGTTTTTTTTTTGGTAACTTGTTTACGTACAATAAGTAACCCAAAAAAACTATTGTATATGTGATGTGTGAAGTTAATTTCAATCTAATATTATGGCAAATGGTATAGTTAAAGCATTGCTTGCGTAATGAAAGAATTTCTAAATTCGAATTATACTTAATACGGTATACGCTTCTCAAATTCTTTATTAATTTTCTTTTTAAATGAATCCCTATAAAATATTGCACAATTGACTACCAATCTACTGCAAATTATACCAAATTAATATAATCTTATTTAATTAAATGACACATACAATAACTTAATACATAGTTACAATAATATTCAGAATTGAATTTAACAAGCAATAAAAAGATGAATTATATATATTAACATTTTAAATATAATACTTGTAGATATTTTTCGTACCGTAATTGTTAAACGATGTGCAAACTGTGTGAGTTAATAGTAACAATTTAGTACAACATATTTGTAAAATTGATTACTATTAAATAGACATAATGTAATCACTAGAACGCTAGTAATGAAAAAATATTTATTATTTATAGATGATGCATTGTTGAAATTATAGCATTTAACTAATTTACACTTAAGAGTCTATACCACATCAAATGGCTTTGGCTGATTCCGCATAACAGTGAAAGGGTTGAATCAATCACTCGAAAAAATATATAGTAAAATTAGGGATATACACTGATTCAGTGAAAACAAGATTCCTAAAAATTTTTTCGATAGAAACAAAACACAAACAAAATTAGGCTGAGAGCAACGAAGGTGTGAATGACCGAAACTTACCTTACAATTTTACAAGGAAACCGCTGTATTCAATAGATACTTTGCATATAGCAATGATTTTTTTTTTATATCAAGTGAACTGAATAGAACACGTATAACTATACGATATACATTTTTCAAATGGCTTTATTTTCGTTTTGTAAAAAAATAAATCCTGAAATAAAGCCAGTGTTCCTGCCGTACGAATTGTGCAAAATGAACCGTATTAGTGCGGGATAAATTTGAATTTGAGCTAAGATAGTGTCGGCTCTTAAGATTGCAGTACGAGATGAAGGTACACCGAAACTACACCACAAAAGATAGACGGCAGACACCGATTACATTCGATATTTCTAGATTCTAGGAAATCAAATCTCCGATACTGTGATGTGTTCTAAGTACGACATTTTCATGAGTAATACTTGACTGTGCACTACATTATAGCCAGCTGATGCCTATATATTTAATGAAATGAGCGAGACCGCGTACAAAACCATGTCAAACATAATATTAAAAATCAAATACATAAAAATAAATTTGGAATGTGACGAAAAGCCCTTGTCCATCCTGTTGGGCTAGAGATTGCGCGAGAGCGACATAAAGCGCGAGATACTGCTGTAGGGCTAGCACGATAGAGCACGACTTGTACGAGTGCGACATAAAGCGAGAGAGACTTTCAGCGAGAATAGCAGTACCTCGCCCTTTAAATTGTTCTCGTCCAAGTCGCGCTCTATCGTGTTAGCCCTACTGTTCTCGCAAAGACATCTCGCGCTTTATGTCGCTCTCGCGCTAGTTGCGCCCTATCGTGTTAGCCCTACTGTTCTCGCAAAGACATCTCGTGCTTTATGTCGCTCTCGCGCTAGTCGCGCGCTGTCGTGGTAGCCCTACAGAAATTGAAATCTAACTTACAGCCAAACTACATAATTGTACACGACAGTGTAAGCGTCTATGTTTTAGAATAGGTCTTTTGTTTCGCGCGGGATATCTTGGAAATAAACTATATAAGAACATGTGCTTGCCGTCTTTTCCATCAAAACAAGGAAAGATGCTAACTAATATAAAGAGGCTGTGTGGTGAAACTACTCCGTCTCACGGAGTAGTTCTCGTACAGCTTCCTAAAGATGATTCCTATAAACGATACAAATATATAGCAAATACATAGATGTAGAAGGTTTTAGATAAGTATAGGTGAAAATTATTATCAAAATAACTTATTCTAAAAACTTTCTTCAATAGAATTCTTACATACGAGTAAAGAAACCCAATGCAGTTGTTTTTGATTTGTATATCATGCGTACAATCTACCATTTAAATTCCACAAACCATTTTGAGGCGCCATCCATGGAATAATATAGAACTACGTAGGGAGAGCTCTCGAAAGCTGCAAAAGAAAATGCATCAACTTCCACAAATTTAGGTGTATCTGTTTTATAACCCCAGCACATTCATACTAAGTCACAATCAAATGCTATTACTAATTTAATATTAGAACTACAAATTTTGTTCGATGTTATAGAGAGCGAGAGCAATATTTGTACACCTCATAATTAATTTAATATGAACATGCAGCAATCTTCCATTCCAAATTTTAATGAAAAACAATATACAGTAAGTTCTTCTAATTCAAAACGTCACTGGAAAAACTCCGAAAGGCATAAAATCTGAAAAAGGGCAAAAAGCCAATAAGCAAAAAGTACAAGCAGAATTTCGATAATTTGTCCCAGTGGCGTGGGGAAGTCAAAATATTAAAATATTATTACTAAAAACGGGGCCGATTAGAGCTTGGTTAAATAGCTCACCTATAAGGAGTCATTACAATACATTTATCAACGCGGAATCGGTATGAGGTAATCATGCTTTGCCTTATTTGTAGCAGTAAGCCAATTCACCATCGACACAGCCGTCCCGGTGTCGATACTGAATTTTGTTTTTTTAACTAAAAAGTCTTTATTTTTATCATAAACAATGTTTACAATTATAATTAAATTAAAATTAGAATAAAATTCGCTGCGTTTACTAGGCTATAACGCTTTTACAAACATTTGACTTAACATATTTTGTCGTTTAACCAGGCATGATAATAGTACTACAAGGAAAGAGATATATTTGCCATTGTAAAACAGTTTTGTACAGCTTTGAAAGAGCTATACATTACAATAAAGACGGATTTAAGGAATAAACAAAAAGACAACAATATTTAAAAAAAGGCGAGAATGTGAGATTCGCACAAAATTTGGTACGTCTAAGTATTTGTCGACCAACTCATAGTTCGATCGACCAGCCGGTAAACAGGTTTGGTTAGCTGTTCAAGAAACAGTGATGGAGCAACTTGTATCTATTATAAGTTTCAGAGTACGAAAGCGTATTTAGCCTAGATTTGACGATTGATGAAACTATAGAATTAGAGTGAGCTGGATTTTTGCATAGAGAAAAATTACGAAATATTTTTAAAACAAAATTTTTAATTAACGTAAAATTATATTTCTAATTTTACGGTGGAGAGTTTTTAGGTTGGTTCTGAACGGTGTATTATACGCTACTTATAAAACTTTGTTCTGAACAACTTGAAGTTTATTATAGTTTGTGTCAGCTAAACTGCTCCAAACAGGCGCGGCATACGTTAAACAGGGTCGAATAAGAGTCGAATAAATACGTAATTTTGTTTGAGCGCTTAAATTTGCTTTACGATTTAAAATCGCAATGGACAAGTAGCCTTCATTGGTTGCCGATATGTGACCAGTTTAATTTATTATGTAGAGTGATTCCTAGTTATCTGACACTTTTGCTCCATGGCATTGAAAAGCTGTCTATCGTGACCAATCTTTTTGGTAAAGACCTTATTCTAGAAAACATGATTGCTTCGGTTTTATTCGAGTTCAATTTTTGTTTCCACTTAGAGAAGTAGCCACTTAGCAGTTCAACTGATAATTGAAGGCGACTTATGATTAGATTTATATCCTCTGCGGATGAATATGTGGCCGTATCATCAGCGTATATGGCCAGGTGCGTATGAGACTGTTTGGGGGTGTCATTTAAGTACATTATGAATAAATATGGCCCAAGAATGGAGCCCTGTGGTACACCGGCTGGTATATATTTGGCACAGGAAGTTC